TAATACTTGTTCGCAAAAACACTCGCGCGTGTAAATGTCTAAAAATCATGGCTATAATATCCTTATGCTTTATATCATTATTATTTATTATCACAACCGCCGTACTCATGAAGTCTAGTTGTGGTACTGGTTTGGAATGTATGACTTCGTGGACCGAAGCATCCCAATTCACCGTTCCTCTGTTTAGTTTTTATTTGCTACCACAATTTATCAATTACCATAAATTAAACCATAATCTTATTGTAATGAGCTTATGTATGTAGAGAAAAGGCAAAGCTCTTCAGTTTTCAAAAAGTCGTAGATGTTGAAACAAAAGCTATTATAAAAAACCTAAGGTATCGGTCTTTAGAAGCAGAAAAATGCAAACGGTGAAAGAACTCACGTCAATGATCTTCTTTTTTATCGGCTGTAAAAGAATTTCTTCAGTTTCCTTAACGCCGATGTACAAATCGAAGCATTTTTTTATCTGAAACTATCAAAAGCGTAGAATAACACGTATGAGGGACCAAAACTTAAATGAAGAATTAACAACGAAGAATTCGTATAAATCCAATACTGAACTTCACTAAGCAAAATCCATGAAAAAAAAAAGAGAAACTTACTTCTGGCCACAAGCGCGTCAACTTCTTATACGCTTGCCCCGCAAAATTTTGCATAGTTTCCGGTTTCAGCGCCTCGCTTTTCGCGAGATCAAAATCGGCTGCAGCCGTCTGAAAAGGGGATTAATGAAAGCAGTTAATACCGAATTAGCAGGAATTATGGGGTGTCTCCAAGAATGCTGTCTGAAGAATATGCTCACTGCGTTCTCGGCTTTTGAGATATATTCTGCGAGCTCCATGATAATCATATCACTAGCTGTGTTGATAACACTGTGGCAATGGGTTTTTAACTGTACATCAATAACACGCCGACTGTCACTTGTTGTTTCCATTACTGCCAAAGGTATCTAAAAAGTAATTAGGTTGCTAGAAAAGTTACTATCAGTGACAAAAAATCTTCACAGAACTTAATGCAATAATTTTACTAAATATACCTGTAACAAAAGTTCCAGGAAAGCGTTATTTGACGTCAACTGAAACCACCTACGTGGATCATGGAAAAATTCAGAAGCTGAGGATTTGTATTTGCTGAAATCCAATACGTAATCGCGCTGAGGAATAGTATCGGATGTTGCACATCCTGAAGCATCAGATTTTAAAGAACTCGTAATCCCAAACAATTAGTAGGCAGTGTCACACAACAGACTGCCTCTCCAATTACGGAATACTTCATTTTTATAA